GAAAGCTTATGCTCCAATACTTCTGTTAGTCTTAAAGGTGCCACAGGACCCTCTGTTGCTTTTTACATCCAAGCTTTTAATTCTAATTTTCTGGACACTGATTTTTGTGAACAATAAAATAATCCCTGCACTGTTTGTAACCCATATATTGCAGGATTCTTCCAGTGCATGAGGACCTGAAAATTAAACTGTCTCCAGCATTGGCAACTGTTATAGATTGATGTGACTGTTGTATAATGATAATTTTCTGACTCTGCAGGATATTTCTTCTGCTTGGGATGCAGTAACGTGGGATGCATCTTTCACTCATTTCCTTTCTCTTTTTAATTTCTTTAGTTCTTTTTCGCTGAGTTTCCTTATATCACAAAGCAATGAACAAATATAAAATAGAATTGTGGGATCTGAGTGAGTAATATGGCTTTACCTTTGTATGTTTTTTGTTCTTTCATTGTAACTGTTATAGTTCTATTTTCCTTCATATAATAAAAACACTTCGTATAAAAGTGAAACTAACTAGTCCATTTTTATTATCTGAGATGAGAGAAATGCAAAATGAAATAAGCCTTATAAACTGTTCACAGGAAATCAGCTGTTTAAAAATAGTTTTGGTTTTAATAATCTAAGATGCTATTTGTAACAGAGTTAAAAATCTGTAATTGATTTTTTTTTAAATCTGATAGTATCCCCCCCCTTTTTTTACTTTTTAATTACTTTTTAATTACTTCAGCCTTCTCTACCAATGCAATATATTCTTCTCCCAAGAGTCACTCTCTTCCACTAAAGAAACAAACTTTCTGATTCCAATTTTTTTACTCGTGTTGATTTCAGTGATCTACTTGAGAAGTAAGACATTACTCAACTTGAGCAAGTGTAGAGAATCTGCCCCTCACCAATTCTATATTGTTTTGTTGCACAGTACAGGCATTCTGATTTTAAATTACTATGTTAGCACCTGATGTTAGGATCTCGTGCTGATAAATCAAAGGAATAATACAAAACTTTATTCTAAATAACAAAGCAGTTATTCTGTATTTCTTACCTGAGACTGTGCTTGAAGTGTCAGTTTTAATTCCTCACTCTCTGAAGAGGACATGGTGGTTTTGCCACAAGCTACTTTGTTCAGCTCTTCCCAGCACCTGACAGATTTGTTATTGCAGAGCGTGTTTAAGTACCCTGGATATTTCAAACCACTCATGGCACATTCATAAAAAGTTCCATTGAGCAAAGCCACAGAAAGCCACATCACAGGAGCTATCAGAACATTTAAGGTGATTTGTCCAAAGACATAAAAGAAACTGCAGCTGTTCCCTTTGGGGAATATTTTCCTGGGATTCAGACAGCAGCCTGTGAAAAGTTTCCACATCCTGCTATTCATGAAATACCCAATAACTAGCAACACCCAGGCTGGGGCAAAGAGAAATACCAAACCATAGATGAAGTTTTCATTGCTGCAGGGACACTTGAAAGCAACAAGAGAAAATAAACGTTCGCTTCCCACTGTCAGTAGAGCCATAAAACTGTAACCAATGGCAGTTTTCCGATTAATAAGGAATTTCAGAATGGTCTGGATACCGTCCATGTTTGATGTCCACAAAAGAGACAAAAATGAGGCTTTGTTTATTGTGCAGCAGTTTATAGCAATGTATGAGGGAGGAGCTCTTGAGAAGAAAAATACCCAGCTAGAGTCTGGTTTAGTGCAGCCTAGATAAAGTGATGATGTCATTGTAGATCCTTCCTCACAAATATATGGGACTAGCTACTGGCAAAGCAGATTTTGCATATCTACAGTATTAATCTGTATTGTAACCTGCAATATAGACAATGCTCTGTTGTCAAATAAAATCACAATTTCAGTTATCATTCCTGTTATTTGACTGTAGCTTCACATGAGAAGGAAACAGAAATACATACGAGATGATCATGGGAATTCTTGAGCGATGATCATCAATGTTTACAGAAATATACTTAAAAGTCCTGGACCCGATTTGGATCTCACATATATTAGCGTAAATGAAGTGTGACTCTGCTGAAGCCAGTGGAGTGACCCCAGAGTAAAACCACTGTATGTGGAGGGAATCAGTGCCCCCCCATCCCCCATTATATTATTTGGAATCCAATATAGGTCCAGATTCTCTGCTGTGTCTAGCTTATGTGGGGTACAGCAGAGTGGGAAGCTGTCAGGGAGCCAGTCATAGCTCCCTGATTCTCTGTCTGGCCTCAGCCCTTACTTCTATTCTCACTGGTAAACCGAACAATAGAATGTAGCATCTAAAAGCTTCTAGCCTGTTTTACACACAAATAGTTTCAAGTGGCACATTTTTTGTCCCTTTACAGGTTGCTTTCAAGATGTACCTTGGGGTTACCCCTAGTGTGAGCTGCAGTAACACAGCAGAAAATGAATTCTTCTTAATGCTGGACAAGAACCCTTTAGTGGACTTTGTGGAGGAGCTCCCAGCAGGACGATGTTCACTTTGCTACTGTAACCTCCTGTGTGGTGTTATTAGAGGAGCCCTGGAAATGGTAAAGAACTGAACACTGAATTTTCTTATCTCTGTTGTTACCTATAGATATAGGAAAGAGGAACCACTGGATAAGTAAATGTAATATCACTTATAAATATTTAATCTCAGTATCAGACTTAGGGCTTGTCTATACTTACCGTGCTGGTTCGGCGGCAGGCAATCGAACTTCTGGGTTCGATTTATCGCGTCTAGTCTGGACGCGATAAATCGAACTCAGAAGTGCTCCCTGTCGACTCCAGTAATCCTGCTCGCCGCGAGGAGTACGCGGAGTCGACAGGGGAGCCTGCCTGCCGGGTCTGGACGGCGGTAAGTTCGAACTAAGGTACGTCGACTTCAGCTACGTTATTCACATGGCTGAAGTTGCGTACCTTAGTTCGATTTGGGGGGTTAGTGTAGACCAAGCCTTAGGCTGGGTCTACACTACCCGCCTGAATCGGTGGGTAGAAATCGACCTCTCGGGGATCGATTTATCGCGTCCCATCGGGACGCGACAATCGATCCCCGAATCGACGCTCTTACTCCACCAGCGGAGGTGGGAGTAAGCGCCGTTGACGGGAAGCCACAGAGGTCGATTTTGCCACCGTCCCTGCAGCGGGGTAAGTCGGCTGCGATACGTCGAATTCAGCTATGCTATTCGCGTAGCTGAATTTGCGTAACTTAAATCGACCCCCCCCCCCCGTACGTGTAGATGTAGCCTTA